TGCCCCTGTCGGCCGCACTGCCGCCCAGCCCGGGGAGACGCGAGGCAGGCTCAGCGCCCCAGGGACGGCCAAAATCCAATGCCCCTGCCGGCCGCCACTGCCGCCCAGCCCGGGGAGACGCGAGGCAGGCTCAGCGCCCCGGGGACGGCTACAAACAAATGTCCCCGCCACTTGCTGCCTGGCCCGGGAAAAAACAAGGCTGGCTCAGCGGCCCGGGGACGGCTACAAACCAATGCCGCCCCCGCCGCCTGCCGCACGGCCCGGGAAGATGCAAGGCTGGCTCAGTGGCCCGGGGACGGCCAAAACCCAATGCCCCTGCTGGCCGCCACTGCCGCCCAGCCCGGGAAGATGCGAGGCTTGCTCAGCGGCCTGGGGATGGCTACAAACCAATGCCCCCGCCGCCTGCCGCACGGCCGGGGAAGATGCGAGGCTGGCTCAGCGCCCTGGGGACGGCCAAAAACCAATGCCCCTGCCGGCTGCCACTGCCGCCCAGCCCGGGGAGGCGCGAGGCAGGCTCAGCGCCCCGGGAACGGCCAGAAACCAATATCCCCGCCGTCTGCCGCCCGGGGAGACACGAGGCCGGCTCAGCGGCCCGGGGACGGCTACAAACCAATTCCCCCGCCGCCTGCCGCACGGCCCGGGAAGATGCGAGGCTGGCTCAGCGCCCCGGGGACGGCCAAAAACCAATGCCCCTGCCGGCCGCCACTGCCGCCTAGCCCGGGGAGGCGCGAGGCAGGCTCAGCGCCCCGGGAACGGCCAGAAACCAATATCCCCGCCGTCTGCCACCCGGGGAGACACGAGGCCGGCTCAGCGGCCCGGGGACGACTACAAACCAATGCCCCTGCCGCCCAGCTCGGGAAGATGCGAGGTCAGCTCAGCGGCCCGGGGACGGCCAAAAACCAATGCCTCTGCCGGCCGCCACTGCCGCCCAGCCCGGGAAGACGCGAGGCTGGCTCAGCGGCCCGGGGAGGGGCAGGAACCGATGCCCCCGCCGGCTGCGGCCCCCGCTGGGCCTACCGCCTGGCCCGGGGAAGGGCAGGAACCAATGCCCCTGCCGGCCGCTGGCCCCGCCAGGCCTGCTGCCCAGCCCAGGGAGACACGAGGCCGGCTCGGCGGCCCCTCCGCCTGGTGCAGGTAAGCCCCCTCCCTCCTCCCCACTCACCCTCCATCTCCGGGTCTGCTCCTGCTTGGCCCACTAGGGCCGCAGCTTGCGGGAGGGCTGGCCCTTTCAACGGAGGCTCTGCTGGGCTGCTCCCAGCATCGATCCTGGGGCTTCCCCGCGCGGCTCTCTGGCCACATGCACCTCGGACTGGGCCAGCCCTGGAAAGGCCCTTCCTGGCCACCAGGGGGCAGGGCATCTGGCTGCAGGGCCAATCGGGAGCAAGGGGCAAATCTGCATGTGTGTGAGAGAGAGAGAGATAGAGAGAAGGGAAGCACAAGTGCCTCTCTGTCTCTGTCTGTCTCTCTCTCTATGAAAATGGCGGAGAAGGCTCCGGAGCCGCAGGAGGTGGCTCAAAGAGCCGCATGCGGCTCCGGAGCCGCGGGTTGCCGACCCGTGGCCTAGAGCAACATTAAAGGATATTTAACATTCAACAATATTTAACATTAAAGGAGCTGCAGGAATTTTTGGCAAGTACTGGTTGTGTACTATATGTGGCAACAATCTCATGTAATCTTCATATGTCTAGGCTGCGGAGTAGGGTAGAAAGACAATAGCCTTTTCTTACAACAACAACAACCCCCCCCCCAAAAAAAAAATATCCAAGCCTGGCTACATTTTGCAAAAATCTGCATGAAGTCTGACAAAAGCAAATGGAAAAATGTGTTATGGTCTGATGAGACCAACATTGAACATTTTGGCCATAATTCCAAAAAGTTCGTTTTGCAAAAAAACAACAACAACAACATTGTGCATCATCAAAAGTACATCATACCCACAGTAAAGCATGGGAGTGGCAGCAATATGCTTTAGGGCTGCTTTTCTTCAGCTGGAATTGGGGCTTTAGTCAAGGTGTACGGAATAATGAACAGTTCCAAATATCTGTCAATTTTGACACAAAACATTCAGTTCCTCTGCTAAAATGCTGGAGATAAGATGAATTTGACCTTTCATCATGACAATGAAAATCTACGGGAGAAAATCAAAGTTTTGGAATGGCCCAGCCACAGCCCCGACCTTAATCCAATTGAAAATCTATAGGGTGACTTGAAGAGGGTTATGCATAGGAAATACCCTGGCAATCTGAGGGATTTGGAGTGCTTTTGCAAGGACGAGTGGGTGAAGATTCCCAAATGCAAAATGTGACATGCTGAGAGGTTCATACTCCAAAAGATTGAATGCTGTCATAAAATAAAAAGATGCTTCAACAACATATTAGTGTAAGGGTATGCATCCTTATACAAACACCATATTGTAAGTTTTTTTCCCCTAAAAGATTTCAGTTTGTTTTTCAATTGAGTTATACAGCTTACTGTATATGTTAATTTAAAGGTGAAAAAAATTCTGATTATCTTGGTCTGATTTTTTTACATCGCAAAAACCTGGTATTTGAACAGGGGTGTATAGATTTCTACATCCACTGTATGATTATGTTAAGACTTTGGAGAACATTCAGAGAAAAGCAAATAAGATGATCAAAGGCCTGGAAACTAAAACATATGAAGATGGGCTGCAGGACTTGGGTTTGGCTAGTCTAAAGAAAAGAAGAAACAGGGGTGATATGATTAGCAGTATTCCAGTATTTGAGGGGCTGCCACAAAGAAGAGGAGATTAAATTATTCTCCAAAGCACCAGAAGGGAAGACAAGAAACAATGGTTGGAAACTGATTAAAGAGAGAAACAACCTGGAATTAAGGAGAAACTTCCTAACAGCGAGGACAATTACCCAGTGGAATAGCTTGCCTTCAGAAATCGTGTGTGTTCTATCACTGGAGATTTTTAAGAAGAGACTAGATTTATCTGAAATGGTATAAGTTTTCTGCTTGAGCAGGGGGCTGGACTAGAAGACCTTCAAGGTCCCTTCCAACTCTACTCTACTCTACTCTCTAATCAATAGCAGGCTGTCCTCAGTGTTCTTAGGAGCTGCACTGTCTCCTATAAGCTTGGCCCTGCCATTCATAATTATGGATAAAGCTCAGAATACTGAGGAAAGAAAGCTGAATCTGCCTCTTTTCTGCATCAACCCAGATTCTATAAATTTCATAAAGCTGACAAAACAGCAATTGTAATATATTCCTGATCTTAAACTCTATGGATTCAAGAGATGAAGAACATCTACAGCACTCTCCCTTCATTAAATAATGCATTTGCTATAAAAACAAGATAGCTGTTTGAGAGATGTATCAAAATACTAATTTGATCACTCAGCTTTGAAGAAAATAATGCAATGAAATTATTTTATGTAAGAGGTGTAATAAACTATAAGATCAGACATGATACAAGAAAGCTTGTATCAAGAACAGGTTTTAAATAATAAATTATAGTATTTAAAATGGATTTTTTAAAAAAAGGACATGGAAGAGAAGAAAAAAACCTGCAATTGAAATGAATATAAAATGAGTGCAGAGCAAGCAAATATGCACCTCACAGCATGAGCAGAAGTTGATATAAAGAAAAAGAAATGTGGAAATGGCTTGGAATGCAAGAAGAAGAAAAGGGCATTTTGGACAGACTCTTAGAAGTCTATGGTGTTTGGCTATTAGTAAATATGAACAAGGATGCCTAATGATGTGAAACGGGGTGTGAATAAGTAAAACAATGATATCTGAAAATGATAACCCTAAAAGTGATTATGAGAGAACAATGTGCACGGAGGAAAAATATGGTTGCCAAAATTAAAGGCACGAAAAGCAAGGAACGTTTACAATTAAAATAGGAAGAAAAGTTAGAAAGTGATTTTGATGGAAAGGTAGAATTACACGGAATGGATGAAATGCATAAAACTTCTAACAGTGTGAGTATAATTAAAAATAAAAATTATGAAATAACTGCCAAGTTAATATCCAAGAATAGAGAAATGAAAATCAAAAATGTTGTGAGAATGTTTAAAAAATGTTAAGATATAGATGATGTTATTGCATTGTTCATATTATACATGGGATTAAACATTTTAGGAAAGCTTGTAATTGTATCCATTCCCTTATTTGCCAAATGTATAATACAATAATTAAGGTGCATGCAAATGTTTTATGTCAGGAAGAGAGTATAGGAACATGATATCTGTTCTGCCCCACCTCTTCCTTGCTAAAATGCTAATTACTTGGCATTAATAATTAAGTACCGTATTTAAATATACTTAAAGCCTAACAATTCCAAGCTCTTTTCAAATTCTAACTGAGATTAGCAAAGATTCTTGCTTAATCACATCACTGCCACTCAATTATGGATATGGTTACAGTTATTTATATCCTAGAAAATATGGGTATGCAGTAGCAGAAGAAATACTGATATGCATTTTCTTCTTTAGTCTGTGCCAATAGTATACCAACCAGGATTCATATTTGAGATAGGATAACCAAAATTTGAAACAAGCAAACTTTCACTTAACCAGAAATCACTATCAGTACAACTTCTTCAAGCAGGTTCCATGTGTGCCAAAATAAAAGAAAGATTGATGCAAATAATCTCATTAATCACTCTTGAATTAAGCAATGGGAGAATTATCTCTGCAAAAGACATAAATTTATTCCTACATAATAGACAAATGTTAAAACTTTAAATCCCTAAACTATAATTTTATTTAAGAATTAGCTCATGTCTAGATATATGCAATCTTTTAAGAACATGCCTCGTGAAAAGAACATTTATTTGCCATACTGACTGTGCTTAACAAGGTTTTTGTTTGTTTGTTTCTAGAAAAGTTGAATAGCATCTTTTATTTGATTGAGAAAATGTTAAATGGTTGCCAGCAAATCTACCTTTATAAAGCATTGGTGAGAATTTTTCACTTCATTTAATATTATTGACTTCTAGAAAATATGCATTCAAAAATTTAACTCACCATTTCAAAGGGGTACCTTCATTTTCAAACCATATTTCTCCAATGTCCTCTCGTCTCATAACCTTTTGGAAATGTTTTTTCACTTTGTCAGTTACAAGTGTCAGGTAGCTTATCCTAGGTAAAAGCAGCTGAAAAAAAAGTTTGAAAAATGGATTTTGCACATTTTGTGAAATGCTATCAAACAGAATGCATTGATTTAATTCAAAAACTGTAATTTAAGCTAAAATATACACTATAAAACATAAATGCACTGTATGGGATTACTATAGAAGAAAAGAGAAAGATAGAGGAATCTTTCCTATTCCACCATTATAAAATGTTGCTAAAACAATACCTGTAAGGCATTATTGTTGTTTCAGCCCACAAATACAAGGCTGAGAAATTACAAATAAGCACATTATACTTTATGGGGCAAAATCTGTATTTAATGCTCTTTTTTTGTTTTACAAAACACAATACATTTTTTTCTGATTCCAGCCAATTAAACATTAATTTCAGTATATGTTATGTGATTTTAAAAAATATTCTGCACAATAACACCATAAAATCCACAAAAGTGAGCTTTATTGAGTTTTAGGGGACTGACATTCAAGCAATTAGGCTGTAAATTGTGGGCATAAAAGTTAAAGAAACAATCCACAATGCATAATTTCTTGCATACTAATTAAAGATTTAGGCAAACCTTCATAGACAGAATAAAAACTTCATAAGAAACATATTTCAAATGGAATTTGGACATACAGGAAGAGGTTACGTACAATAATCATGAAAGACAGTAAAATTTTGTTAATTTGCATTTCATTAATGAATTCTTGTAAGTAAAATAGAAAAATAAATCGTCCCATCCTCATACTGCTATCAAAAAAGAAGAGGAATGAAAAGACTAAGAGAACAGAATGAAGAGACAAAGAGTCAATAACTATTAGGCCAACTCAAAATTTACAAAATGCTATGCATGTGGTTTGGTTTCTCAGAACTCTTCACCAGGTAAGATAGTAAATGAACAGTTCTTAGGAAGTCAGAAACCTGAATTAATCTAAGAAGATCTTACACAGAATGCTTTTTTGTTAAGATACCTCTTCAGAATCAGTCCTGTAACAAAATGAAATCCTATTATCAAACTTAATGTTAATAATGCTGATCGGAAATAAAAATCCAATGTTTATTGACATAAAAGATGTATCCAATGAACCGTTAATCATTTGTTAAGATGAAATATACAAGACAGTGATTAGATTTGTACAGCCTAGATTATGGTTTACTGAATCATAAATTACTGAATAATTCTCTGGGTTGATATATCACCATAAGCCACAATATGACTTTGTCTGATGTGTAAACCCAGCTACAATATTCTTCAACTATAGGTCTTTCATGGAATTAAACACTTACATAGTATGGTTCCGCTTCTCTTTCGGTACTCTCATCTTGATACAACATAAAACAGGTTGGTATTCTTCCAAACCACACGTCTCTGAGTACATCTTTGTCATCTGCCATTCTTCCAGGAAGTGCAGAAACACATCTAGGCTAAATTATTCCTTAGATAACCCACTACAAAAAAAAAAAAAAAAGAGAGTCTGCTTTTAAACCCACATGATTATCTGAATCATATTACCCCTTTAGTTATTTACATAATACATAAGGATTTTTCCTTCTTGAATCTTCAAATTATGGTTAGTTGAAAACAGTATTAACTATCTTCACATTATATAGCTTCTTAATGTGCAATGATACTCTTTATGATTTGATAACTTATCCTTTAGTTAAAAATAATAAACTTATATAATAAACCAAATATAGTCTAAATGCTGTGGTGATGAGATTTCTTCTAACCCATTTTTTTGTTTCAGCAAATGGTAGCTTTGAAGACAAAAAGCAATTTTAGTAGGAGTGCAACGAGAAAGGAAAACAAGAAGAATATGTACATGAAAATCAGAACAGATTTGAAAATTCTTGTTAAAGCTAACGAGATATATTTGCTTTAAATGAGCGACTTACCAAATCCATTCTAACTTCTCAGTATACCACTAAATGCCAGCATGCTTTTACTTTAACTCAAATCTGTAACTGTCTAATATGAGGGCTTTATTTACAAAATTCTCTTTAAAAAAATGTCCTCATTTTACCAACCTCAGAAGGATAGAAAGTCAAGTCAAACTTGAGCTGGTCAAAATTGAACTCCTGGCATTGAGTTAGCCTTTTTGAGTGGCAAAAAGGACACTAGGGCTGAAATTGTTTAAAGGGGTAGAGGTGGGGTAGCACGCCAGCAGAGTCAATTTAGTCATTTTCTGGATTTTTGACAAGCCGACCCCAAAAGATTTGCCATCTCATTCACATATATATATATGCATATACATATAAACTATACACGCAGACAGACAGATGGATAAACAGATATAGATATATATTCTTGTGGGAGTAGGCATTAGAATTTCATTTTTTTCATGTGTGCCAGTATGTTCACAAGAAAAAGTGATAAATAAGGGTTATCCTTATCTTTTCTTATCAAACCTTTTGCCATTCAATCAATCAAGCCGTGGTGGTGCAGTGGTTAGAATGCAGTATTGCAGGCTAACTCTGCCCACTTCCATGAGTTTCATTCTGACCTGCTCGAGGTTGACTTAGCCATCCATCCTTCCGAGATCAGTAAAATGAGGATCCAGATTGTTGGAGCAATATGCTGACGCTGTAAACTGCCTAGAGAGAGCTGTAAAGCATTATGAAGCAATATATAAGTCTAACTGTTATTGCTATTGCTATCACTGCTCTACACGTTTTGGAGGCAGCTACAAGTCATTGAGTGGCACTGTGATTCTGGAAACAGGACACTATTTCAACTCTTTTCCTTGTTTTGGGGAGAAATTAACAGGGAAACTGAAAACAGAAAACATCTGAGAAGGAAACATTTCCTTTCCTCAAGCTCAACTCCCCAAACTGTGCTGAAGTTCATGAAATATACCTCCAAATCTCAGTAGTGGGATCCACAAATTGATTAGCGGACATTAAACAAGCCTAATTTCAGCAATTTCACCCCCTCCAACATCTGCATTAGCCTTCCCCAACTCAAGCACTCTCTGGCTGACAAAGTATGGACTTGTACAAGTAGTTCTCAACTTACAACAGTTCATTTAATGACTGTTCAAATTTACAATGACTTATGACCATTTTTCAGTTACCACCTCTGTAGCATCCCCATGATCATGTGATCAAAATTTAGATGCTTGGCAACTGGTTCATACTTTTTGTCATAGAACGCACCGGAACAGAGTTCCGGCACCTTTTTTCAACGGATTTTCCAGAATTGCATTCTTTTCCTATTGTTTTCCTTCCTATCCTCATTTGTTTTTGAAAAGGCCCCGCTGGCAGTACAGTGTGAGCGGGGTCCCCTTTAGGAGGGGCCATGAGGCACCAGAGCACCAGAGCCAGAGCATGGCTTGATTGGCTGAGTCGGACCATGTGGTGTGGAAGCTGATGGTGGCTGTGGGAGACACATAAAGATGGAGGCCATCTTTCACAAGAGGGTGAGTGAGCCTTTTGCCTTCCCTTACAGAAGGTGGGGTGTGAGGTTAAAAAGAGGCGAAGCGAGAGGGAAAAAAGGCAGTTACTGGGATGTGTACGAAAATCTCTTTTTAGTCTTTTATACTATACTTCATACTTTTATACTATACTTTATATTCAAACTGCAGAGGGGAAGAATAAGAATAAAGCCAATGTCTTGTGATTTGGAGGTATTATTATTAATAATAATATATATTAATTATGTATTGGTCAGATGTAAAGGTAGACCTACAGTATGAGGTTTAATCAGATCTATTTATTAAATTGGGTTTAACTTAAAGGTAAATTAAAAGTAATCTGTTCACTGACAAAGTTTTAACTTTAATTTGTTTCAAATCAATATCCATATTAAACTCCAAATGTAAATTTTTTCACCTTTTGACTTCTTAAAAATAATTCAATCAGTTACAATAATTAACCAGTGGAACAACCTGCCTCCAGAAGCGGTGAATGCTCCAGCACTGGAAGTTTTTAAGAAGAGACTGTACAGCCATTTGTCTGAAATGGTATAGGGCAGTGATGGCGAACCTTTTAGAGACCGAGTGCCCAAACTGCAACCCAAAACCTACTTATGTATCGTTGGGTGCTGGTGGGCCTGGCCCATTGGGTGGGTGTGGCCAATTGGGTGGGCATGGCTTTGGTGGTAACGGTAAACTGGGCAGGACTAAAAAGTTCAATCAATCAATTCCAACTTTGCAAGATCCTTTTTTTTCCGTGAGAAGTTGAAATTGATTGATTGATTGATTGATTGAACTTTTTTTTTTTTTGCACACGGCAGCGGAGGCCTAAAACGAAAAGATTTATAAAACCCAGCTGAAGGCCTAGGACTGGGGTGACAGTGCGCATGCCCACAGAGAGGGCTCTGCGTGCCACTTGTGGCACGCATGCCATAGGTTCGCTATCACGGGTATAAGGTTTCCTGACTGAGCAGGGGGGGGTGGACTAGATGACCCCCAAGGTCCCTTCCAACTTTATTATTACTATTTTACAAGCAACCAAATTTTGTTTTATTGGGCCAATTTCATTCCACAGAAAAAGCTGACATTTCCACTCATTAAATTAAACGGGTATACCAGTGGTAAATGTCCCAAAAGATTAATAAAATGCCTTCTTGTAATTTAAAGCAACACAGTGCATGGTAACATTAACAGTATTAACTTACCTTGAACAAAATCCTAATCTTTTAGATACACTAAAAATTGAAGGATTTTTTTTTCAACTACAAAGGTAAACCTTGTAGGGTAGTATGACATGTGTGAGTTCCAGCACTTTTTTTTTTTTACAAAAAAAGGACTGTTTATGACCACTGCTGTGTCCCAAGGTCATGTGATCACCTTTTGCAATCTTTTGATATGCAGAGTCAATGGGGAAGCCAGATTCACTTAACAACAGGGTTACTAACTTATCAACTGCAGCGATTCATTTAACAACGGTGGCAAGAAAGGTCATACAATGGGGCAAAACTCACTTAACAAATGTCTCACTTAACCACAGAAAGTTTGGGCTCAATTGCTGTCTTAAGTCGAGGACTACCTGTACTCCCGAGTTTCCTGCCCATAGGAAACTGTAGTGAATGCTGGGAATTCGTCCAAACGCCTGAAGGTTGGCGAGGTAAAGATGGACGATTAATATAACGGCATACAATCACATATACCGGTTATTACTTAGAATCGGGGATAGGCCACCTGGCATAACCCAATAGTTTGGATCGCATAACCCGGAACTCACCAAATAGCCACGCTAGTTATAGGATTTAAAGTTAGTACCGGTTCATTCACCAGATGTCCAAAGAACTCGGGGAAACGCCATGCAAAGCTTAAGCTGGATGCAAGCTCTTGAAAGGCAGGGCTGTTCTCTCTTTGGAAACCCACCCCCGAGTTTCCCAAATTAATTCGGGGCGGAGGGGGGACGGCTCACTGCACGACATTCTTATGCCGTGAAGATAATGCCGGGTCAAGGATTGCGTCTTCAATGCATCTCCTTGTACGATTAAAGCATACCCCGGCAGCGCCGCATGGAAAGCCCCGCGGCGAGGAGGAGCAGGAAAGGGGCGCGAGGAAAAAAAAGCAGACCAGAACTGTCAGTCTCGCGGCGGAGAGCGCGAGAGGGAAGAGAAGAGCGAATGTTCCCCCACGCGCCACACTCCCGGCCGCATCCACCCCGTCCTGCCGTTCGGACGCTCCGAGACCAAGCGAGGGAAGGCAACGCAACCGTTACCTGTCAGTTCGTTTTCGTCTCCAGCCGCGCCTCCTCTTCCCCCCCCCCTCCCGTCCTTCCGCTCTCCACTATCTCACACGTATCTCTCCACAACGCGCAAACTCCACTCAACCTCACCCCACCCAACACGGAGGCCTTCGTTTTAAAGCCAAGTCTTGGGGATCACATGACTCAGCTCGAGTCTGCCAAACCTCCACGGAAAGCTCAGCGGTGCGATTGTTTTGGTTTCTGTTGCAACCCGGAAGTGCTGGATAATCATAGAGACTACAGAAAACGATGCCCTGGCGAGCTGAGTTCGGCTTTGCTGATGCTGCCCTCCAGAGGGCAATATATGTTCCCCAGATTCATTTACGGGAGGCCTGGCAAGTGATCTACGGCGCGCAAGACGGTCGATGAACTAAGCCTCCTAACCTTTCTTGCAATCAGCGATGGGAATCCGGGCTGCTGGAAATTAAAGTTCAGCAAATTTACAGGCGGTGTAGAGCAGTGTATCTCAGCCTTGGCGGCTTTAATATGTGTGGACTTCAACTCCCAGAATTCCCCTGTGTGAGAGGCTGTTAAGACTTTTAAGTCCGCACGTCTTAAAGCTGCCAAAATTGAGATACAGTAATGTAGAGATTTGAATTGAGGCCTTTTATGAAGAACCAGGAAAAATAAAGTGTGCTAATTTGCCTAGAAGGAAATTTTTAAAATCCTGTTAAGATGATCATTCACTACATGATCAAAGTTATTAGAAAGGTGGATAAGGCTATTCTATATTTATTCATTCGAATGATTTATTGTCTCCAGGAGGCTTACACTGTTTAAAATGTAACAACAGGTAAATACCAAACTTTCTAAAATGAAAGGCCCAGGGAAAAAGGAGTTAAGACCTAAATGGGAATAACGTCTACAACATACAACTTGCTTTGTTATATGAATCCAGCCTTGGTGATTTGTAAATCATACTGTATAATTTAGTGACAGAACCTTGCAGATTTATTTTAGTCATTAAGCCATGATTAAATAAACTGTGGCTTAGTTTGCTGTACATGTATTTTGATGTTATTGAAAAACAATAGCCACAGGTAAGAGAAAAGTAAAGAAAGCCCATTTAATGTACTATAGCTATAAAAAGACTATTGGACAAGTCGCAACTTCAATCAGTTTTGAAGCAGCCAGATAGTTTTATCTATATGCAATTCCAAAGGAAATACATTTGCATTGCTTTGAACGTATATATATAATTAGACATTCAAGGTGGGGTTCTGTGAGAATGACAAGCTTGGGTGAAACTCAACATAACCAAAAAGTAGACAAACTGGTTTCCAGTGCAATAAATAAGGCAGAATCTTGTACAATAGCAGGCAAGTTGAACAACTACGAAGGAAAAAGAATGTAATATAAAGTATAATACAATACATTATGGCAGAGAAATCTTCAGATGATAAATCAGGAAGAATTCCCACTGGGCAGTCAAACATAAAGTCATCTATGAAAATCCCTTTCTAAAATATATGTATGGTCTGGCAGTTAAGTTTTCATATGGAGTCTTTGTACATTCCAGGAAATACCGGTAAGTCCATACATCTTTTATCACAACACAAACACTCTTAGTTAACTTGTGTTTGATGTCAGGAGGCAAGTAAAAAACAATGTGTTTATCACTTTGATATCACAAATGTACATTTTGTTATTTAATGTCATTGTAGTTGGAAGGAGAAAAATTCTTCTTCCTAAAGCTTCCTTCTCAAATAATTTGACCCCCAAATGAAAAGAGAGGATTTATTGGAAAAATAACCTGATATTGGGAAAGATTGAAGGCAAAAGGAGAAGAGACCGGCAAAGGATGAAATGGTTAGTGTTGTTGATGCATTGAATTGAGCAAACTGGGAGACAGTGGAGGGGGGATCTGTCGTACTATGATCTATGAGATCATGAAGAGTCAGACATGATTTAGCAACTGAACAATACAAAGCTTTCTCTAAAGGATCCCTCTTTAGCCATTGCTTCAATTAATTAAGGTTTTTTATTTGAGTGAATAGGTTTTTAAAAATACTAATTTTAAAAAACTCTTTTCCCCCCCTCAGGATCAGTTTACAGTACTTCCAAAATGCAAAATAAACTTATGTTAAAATACATTATTTAAATGGAGGCAAAAAATAAGCATGATAAATATTGCAGCTTACTGTGAAATAAAATAGTGTGGTAATGGTAGCAACTGCAACCTCTTTAAGAGAGTCAGGACCTGGTTGCTACAATATACTGGATTATAACACATAGCTGTTTTTCTGCCATTCTGTGGCGCAAGACTGAGATTGGTAGTCAGAGGAGGTCGTTGGTGAGGCAGTTCATTCTTTAATATTTGTTTTAAAAGGGACTCTAGCATGCTGGAAGCAAAATGCCATTCTCTAGTCCTTTTTTTCCAAAAATGCTTCTGGGC